CCCAAGAATATTTACAGAATAAGCTCTCATGTTGATGCACAACRTGCCTCGTGTTAGACCAGGATGCAAAGAAAAGACCACTGACTCCAATTAAGACAAATTAAAGCAAGCTTATTGTTCCAACCGACCGGCCGGGCTGCCTCCCCCAACAAAAACCGTGGGAACAAGACAGCATTGCAGCTTTCTTGCAGCCCAGCTTTAGAGCCCAGAAAGTTACACAAAGGGGGGTTACAGATAACAAAACTCTGAGGAGCATAACACAATGGCTAGTTTATATTTTTGCTGGCCCCCGACATCAGAATTTATGAAGGTCATTAGAGCCTCAGAGAGGGTCGTTATCTGGCCAGGGAAGGTCAAGATTGATGAGGCGTCACTAAAGTTTCAGAGAGGGCTGCTATCTGGTCAGGCATGGGTGAGTTCAAGGCATGGGCAGGCATTCCAAGCAGGTTCAAAATTTGCAGTAATTTATAGTAAAGCCGAAATTTGCTTTTCATGTCTTTGTGGTGAGATGGCTCCCAATTTTAAGAGGAAATCAGACTGCATCTATCATCTAGAAGAGACTGCAGGCCACTGATGTGTATCTCAAAGGATTCACAGAGGGAATTCCCCTGTGTCACCAGGGGCAGGAGGCAGAGAACTGCCATCAGAGAAGCCCTGGGGACTTCTACACGCCAGCAGGCAGGGAGGGGCCCAGCAGCTGCGAAAGCCCTTCTGCCTGGTGTGCAGGGACCTCTGAGCCTCTCTCTAGAGTCCTGGGGTGGCTCCCAGAGCACCTGTACACCCAGCCCTGCTGTCCTTGGCTCCGGGCCAGTGGGGCTGGGCACCCCTCTCTTGAACACAGTCACTAAATCCCAAAGAGCCTTCTTAGGAACCAGTGGACCAGTTGTAGAGTTCTGGCTATAAAACGTAGTCCCTCTAAAGCACAGAGGCCAGGCAGAAGGCACACCTCTTTCCCAGCTCAAGGGCTACTCCATGTCCAGCTGACCACCCATTCCTTCTGGGGACTAGGGTTCTTTATTTCCTACCATTTGCCCCTCCTGAACTGATAACTTTTTCAACTGCTTCATTCTGGTTATGTTTGGACCTTAAATGTCCCCCAGAAGCCTGGGCTGCAGAGTTGGTTCCTAGCCTGTGGTGGGAARCAGTCAGCCTTTAAGAGGTGGGGCCCAGAGGGAGGAAGTCAGGTCACAGAGGGGTCCCCTGCAGGGATTTTGGGATCCCCGCAACTTCCTCTCTCCTTTTGCTTCCTTGGCCACGTGGCCCTGCTATGATGTGCTGTCTCAATGCAGGACCGTGGGCTGGAGCCTGACTCTGGGAGCCAAATCCATCTTTCCTGCTTTTCAAGTCTGTGTCCCAGTGATGGAAAGCTAAACCAACGCTGTTTCATTATCCTTCTGGAACTTTTCTTACCCTTACCATAGACTCCACGGGTCATTTTCCACCTGTCAGCTCCTCCTAGCTTAAATGTGTCTAAGTGCAGACCTGAGTCAGGTCTGGAAACCGGCCAGGGAGGGTGGTCCTGTTGGGCACCCGTGCTGGGTTGCTGGGTTTCCTGTGGTGCAGGTGGGGCAGGGCCTCAGGGTTGGCACAGACTTCTTCCTGCTGTCCCCACAGGTAGGCCCACACTACCATCTCAGGCCCTTGCCTCCACTGCCACTGACCAGGGCAACTCCTGGGACAAAAGGAGCTCCTTTCCGAGGGGCAAGGGGACACCAGCTGGAGTGCACAAAATAACTGCTCCTCAGGCTCCATGTTCTGACCCCTCACACTGTGACTGTCAGGTCACACGTGGCAGAAGGCACTCTGCTCATGTGATTACGCTAAAGATGCTGGGAAGGAAAGAGAGGGCAAAGGAAATGAAGGCACATGGACATGGCACATGGACATGGCACAGGGCGGGGTGAGAGCAGAGCTACACGGTCTGGCCCCAGTCTCCAGGCAGATGGGGACCAAGATCCGGGTGAATGAAGAGTCGCCCTTGAGTTCACTCTTGGGCTCATCGGAAAGATTTGCACAGTGTTAGCACACTCCTGGGAAGCTTCACCCAGGACACAAAGCTGCAGATCCTTTGGCCTTCGTACTCTGCCCACATCCTGTTTCCTGAAACCACCGGAGTCTGTGGCCAGTCTGAGAGGATGGAAGGACAGACGCCTTTTCACTGGGGTCCTGGCTCTTTCTGAAGGAGGAGACAAGGTGTCCCAGCTGTCCTTCTGTGCCATGTTGGTCACTGTGAGCACAGCAGAGCTGTTTGGGGGGCTTTGACCATCTTCCAAAGAATATTTTCTGAATCTTTGAAACTTATCTAGAGATGCTTATTGTCCTCATGTTCAATTTTCTATAAAGTAGATTGCAAGTTGTTTTTTAATTAGTTGCTCTTTTTTTGATGTAGAAGAGTATTGATTGTTGGGAAAATACCAAGCATGACGACAGTAATTTCCTAAGAGATGTGAAGTGAGAACAGCACAGGTGAGTGAGACCCTTCTTCTCCACGGGGGCAGCATAAGAAGCCATGCTCAGGGGCCTTCCCAGGGCCCCTCACCCACACAGACAAAAGATAATTGTTAAAAACAAACAAACGAACAAAAMCCCCCCCAAACAGCAACACTTCTACCAAAAGTAAACTAGAATCATAAAACAGAGGGAGGCCCAAATACAGGCAAAGGTGCCAGGGACGCGTTCCTCGGGAGGGATGAGATCAAGTGCTCCAGGAGGAGCTGGCAACAGCCAGGAGCTCTGCTCAAAACCAGGCTGGAAAGGAAGCCAAGAAAAAGCCACCTCTGCGCAGTGGCCTGAGGATCAAGCAGAGAAGGACCTCAGCCGAGCCCAGGGCCAGGGGTGGGGCATGATTCCCTGCAGCCAGGCTGAGCATCCACCTGACCCTGCAGGGCACCTGCAGGACCCGGCACACAGCCGGGAGCACCCAGGAGGGAGACCATGCCAAACCCTGCCTGCCCTGCAGGCCTGCATTCCAGTCGCAGTGCTGAGAGGTAGGTTACAGGGCCAGTGGCCAGCAGATGAAATAGCATAAGGCATCAGAGTTAGGGATGAGTCTGTTCAGGAATCTCATGGTGGATAAAGAAAGAAAACATCAACAAAAATTAAAAAGAGATTATAAAATAAAACCGGAGGAGACAAAATAAAAACAAAAAAGAAAATTAGAACTGCAAAATGAGGTCACAAAAAAACAAAACAAAACCCCAGAACCTCAGTAGATGACACAAAGCCTGACTGGACACCAGAAGGGATGTTTAGTGAACAGTCCACCCAGAACACACACAGGTAAGCTTGAGCAAGGTGGCTCTGAGACGTGGAGAACAGAGAGGCGTCCACCAACTTGAGAATCAAGGTCAGGGTGGATAGACGCCATGAAGGAAGGCCGAGAAGGGGCCAGAACTGAGGGCATGGATTCAGAAGGGTCACATCAAGTACTAAGCAGCATCAAATGAATTTGTACTCAGAAACACTGTAATGAAATTGCAGAACAGGACACAGCAAGGGAAGGCAGATTCCCTGCACAAAAACATCAATTACGTGCAGGGAGCAGCAGCCAGGGACTAATGTCTTAAACGTTCTGATAGACGGTAGCTGTCAACAAGAAACTCTGCACCAGCTAAACAATCACTTAAGAATTAGATCAAAATGAGGTCTTGGTACATTCACAAACTTAGAACCACCCACATCACATGTCAAAAGATGGACCAAAGGTGGCATTGCAACTGGACAAAATGTGAGGACAGAAAATGGCAAAATGTCTCCACCTATAACTAATCATTGATTACAAAATGTCACGTAGTATTCTGTACCATGCCTGTGGGCTCCTTGGTCGAAACACCTGGAGCCTGCCCACTTAACTGCAGGAGTCAAATATCTGATAAGTGCCTGTTGGCACAAACTTTGCAAATCTGTAACCAAAATATTCAGGGGTATACAACTGCTAGTATCTCTGCAATGTACATGGGGTGTGGGGAGGAGTGCTGGTAACAGTCAGTTGATCAGTCAGTTTGGTAGACACATTCACTGGGTCCCTATGTCCCCAGTTTAGTACTCTCTTGCATGCCAGTGGACATTGTCTCCTGCTCTGCTTTCCATTCCACAAGTGTCCCTTCAGTTCCGAGTGTTTGGATGCTGTGTTACTGTCCTGCAGTCCCGGAATTCCCCTCTGCTTCCTTCCGGCAGGCCAGGATCACCTTTGCTTCCACCACCTTACATACGCTGAACCATTGCCCTGAGCAGTTTGCGCGCTGGTCTCAGTATTTGGGCCACTGGTCAGTCTGTTTTCGGTGACCTTCCTGGGACCTGACCATGTGCTCACACTGCCCTGGGTATGACACAGAGCATATGAAGAGCTGTGGAACTTACTTAAGATCTCCAGTGATGTTCCCTTCTTCCTGTGTCCAGGACCATCTCGGTGCCATTGGGATCTGACTGGATCAGCAAGTGGCCTCAGAACATCACTGAAGCTGTGGTCACTGGTCTCTTGACAGCCTCGCTCAGTAGTAGAGCCTTCTGACGTCTCTGCCAGTTAGGCGGTTGCTCATGCAGGAAAAGTGACCCCTACAGCCATGCTCGGCCTGATGGAATTACCTTTGTTTTTGTGTGTTCAACCTCCCCAGTTTCCATGGGCGGCGTCCGCAAGGCCTCACCTGCCGTCACAGCAGAAACCCGGCCACCGCCCGCAAAGCTGCCAACGCCTGGGGCTCCTGTGGCTGACCCGCTGGCCCTGGACCCGCCCCACCCTCGCCGCGCTGCCCCCACGCCCTCGCCCTACCTTTCCCTTCAGAGCCCCGCCCCCGCCCACCTCGGCCCCTCCCCCGCCCCATCCTCCTCCCGAGCCCCGCCCCCGCCCACCCCTCCTCCCGAGCCCCGCCCCCGCCCCGCCCCCGCCCTCTCCATCGCCCCTCCCGCCCTGTAGAAGACACGGCGCGCGCAAGCGCAGTATAGCGCCCTCTGCGGCTCGGCGCCCGCAGGCACCCCGTCGCGCGGCGTCTCCAGGGCGACCGCGGGCCCAAGCCGCCTCCATTGTTGGCGGCGCCCCCTACTCTCAGCGGCCGGGCTGCGGGCGTGCAGCAGAAGGGTCCGCAGGTGGGCGGGCGCGAGGCGGGCGGGGCTGCAGGACGGGCGGGGCGGGGCGGAGGCCAGGGGACTCCAGACACAGGCGGGAGAAGGCGGGGCCGTCCGCTGCGGGGCGCGGGGTGTGGCTGCGGGATGTGGGGGGCGGGGCGGCTGCGGGGCGGCTGCGGGGCGGCTGCGGGGCGGCTGCGGGGCGGCTGCGGGGCGGCTGCGGGGCGGCTGCGGGGCGGCTGCGGGGCGGGGCGCGGTGTGCCGATGGGGCGGGGCTGCGAGGCATGGTGTGCCTGAGCCGCACGGTGTGCCTGAGGGGCGGAGCTGCGGGGGTGGTGTATGTGCGGGGCGGGGCTGTGGGGCGGGGCGCGGTGTGCCGATGGGGCGGGGCTGCGAGGCGTGGTGTGCCTGAGGGGCGGAGCTGCGGGGCGTGGTTGCTTGCGGGGCGGGGCTGTGGGAGGTGTGGTGCCTGCGGGGCCGGGCGGGGCTTCTGGGCAGACTTGGGGGGTTGTGCCGGCGGCGTGGCCTTCCGCAGGGGCTTCGGATAAGGCTGCGCCAGGCCCTGGTCTCCTTTCCTGCAGAGACCTCTTGGGCTGGGAACTTGAGACAATTCTCGACCAGGCCAAATGGGGAAAATAGAGGCGGGGCCATCCTGGCATATTTCAGTTGGGGTGTGGACGTTTTCCCTGTGGGGTCTGCAGCGGGCTGAGGCCTGCCCTTCTCTGCTAATCACCAACCACCTACTGTGCAAAGGCCAGGATGTCCTGGGGAGCTCCAGTTTACCTTCATGCAGTCCTGGCTCCCCATTATGTGCGCGCCCTTGGGGCGGCTCCTTCACTGACTGGAACCCCTCCTCCTCCCTAAATGGGAGTGACATGAACGCGTATCAGTAACTGCGTCGTCCATTAGATATGCCTGTAACACCCATAAGCATTACAGAGTTGATTATCAATGCTGGACAAAGTGGAGCTGTGCCTCGCCGCTGAGATTTGGGTGAGCCACTGTTCTTAAACTTGGTGTTGAGCAAAGGTGGTATTGCTGGACAATTAATTTCACATTCTGTGTCAGTGTGATTGGTTGTTGCTGGGTCTCCCCTGCCTGTGTTTGCAGGTGACTCCAGACCAAGGAGGATGAGCCGTGGCCGCTGGAGGGCTACAGATGGAGGGAAGCTGCACCTGTGGGGCTCCGGCTGGGGCTGCTGAGGATGCAGAGGAGGGTGCTCATGGAGTCAGTGGTTTGCCTGCCTCCCCTTCCAGAGATGTTCATAGGATTATTGAGGGAATCATCTTTTCTCCCTCACCAAGTTTGGACTTGAGTCAAAGTGGTCTGCATCACATGGGAGAGGTCTTCAAAATCCCCAACCTTCAAGTAAGTGGCCGTTCCTTGGGATGTTGTCACACCGGTGCTGTGCAAATAAGTGGAGCACCCAGCCCTGTGCTTGCTTGCTAAGCATCTTGCTGTTTGGAGAATATTCTAGAAAGAGGCAGAGAAGGGTTAATTGGTCTTTCATATGGCTGATCACAACAAAGAGAAATCGAGATATGGGCCATGGCAAGGGCAGTGGTGCATCTGCTCACAAGAGGGAGCCCATCCTGCAGGCCATCACTCTCCACCAAGGCCCCGTGGGGGAGGCAAGCACCCAAACATCTTTGGTCTCTTATTTAAAAAACAAACTCCTCCAAAGACCTGAGCAGTGGAACAGCAGTTCAGCCGGTTTCTCCCACTGCTTTCCCTGTTGCCGATGTGACAGCCATGGCCTTGGTGCTGGGCGCCTCCTGAGGGCAGTGCCTGGGAGTGCTTCCGGAGCACCACCTTCTTAGAGCACAGCCTGGATGCAGACCTTGCTCCCCCCAGCAGTGCCAGCCCGGCTGGAGTCACCGAGGGTCCCTAACTCATTTGACTTCACCTGGAGTCTGGGATTATTGTGAAGACAGTGGGTGGAACATTGTGATGTGAGTTGACATGCCCAGCAGTTTCATGGAAGCTGCACTTTGGCATTTCAGGTGGCGCCTGCACTGCTGAAGCCTGCTTGCCAGTTTGTTTACCTGTTTGCTGCCAGGGCCGGCGCTGCTCTTGCTGTTCTTGATTAGCACTGACCTCTGAGGGCTTTGCCAGCACAGGGACCCACCTCATCCTGTGATGGGCTCCTGTGTGTGTCACTTGTGATGAAGCAGATGTCGAGCCCTGAGGTTCCCACTGACTCTGCCTACAGGAGAGGAGGAAATTCCAAGTCCTTCAGCTTAATAGAGAAGCGTCACAACTGTTTCCCTTTCGTAAGATAGATAATTTTATTGCCAAGCCAACAAATCAGTAAGTGAGGTGACCACTCACAGTTGCAGACTCTTAGGGGTTACAGGCCACATTTTGATGCTATAGAGCAATCCTTGGAATTGTAGGTCGTACTTCCAGAGATACTGGTACTCAGGGGACATGTAAAGAATGCTCCACCTTCACACTCCCAGGACCTTGAGGCAGGGAGAGGCCACACACTCTTCCACCCCACCAGCTTCACATAGGGGTAGTGCCTGCATTTCTGGGGGTGCTGGGAAGGAGTCCTCTTACTGGCCTTCAGGAGGACCTGTGGTTTCGGAGCTGAACACTAGAATTGGCTGGTACCAACAGGGCAAGCACAGACTGGAAGGGTTAATACTCTGCTCCAGCAGCTGACCTGGGAGGGTCCTGCATGGAGGCCTGTGTGTACATGCACAGCTGACCTGGAGGCACATACTGTGCACTGATGGCCCCACTGCTTTCCAGAGAGCATGCCAGCTGCCAGCAGGCAGGGACAGGGGTTTTCTAATAGGCATATGATTTTCAATGCATTTATAAGGAGCGTGACTTTTCTAGTCAGTGTCTCGAAGAGGCCTGTAAATGGTTTGGATTTGGGGGCTTGTGGAGCTATGGTATACAAGGAATTGCCTGATTGCCCACTGAGTAGCAGACAGTGTAGTGGTAAAAGGCCCAGGATCACAGGCACTCCCTGACTGGGGCACACCCTGTGAGGTGGGGCCCAGCAGCTATGGCGAGGACACTGGAACACAGAGGTTCCAGAACTTGGTCAAGGCCACACAGCTGATAGGTTTCAAGACCTAACTTTGAGCCCAGCCATCTGGCTTCAAGGTCATGCTCTGAGCATCTGTCTCTGCCTCCTCAGTACACCTAGGTACAGGAGGAGATGGGTGTAATAATGCTAATAGCATGATGTTAAAAATTCCTTTCATCTGGCTATTCTATGATTGTGCAATTAAATACACCTTATTCCCCCCTTGTCCAGAAATATTAAGTAGAAAATTTGAGGAATAAATAACTCATAAGTTTTAATGACTTTTATGAACTGTACAGTATGGCTAGATGGTTCTGTTATTTCTCTCTCTCTTTCTTGTAGTTGTAGATGGACAGATTGCCTTTGTTTTGATTATTCTCATGGGTGCTGAGGATCGAACCAGTGCCTCACACATGCCAGCAAGCGCTCTCACTGGGCCACAGCCCAGCCCTGCTGTTGCTTTGGTTGTGGCCCTCTTACATGCCTCTCCATGAGTCCCACCTTTCCTTAGGTGTGTGTGTATTGGGGGATGCACGCAGCACATATGCAGTACTTTTCCATGGTTTCAGCCTCCCTGTGGATACGTGGGGACAGTTGTGTGTAGGTTGTAGGTAGACAAGCAGTCTTGCTGCCACCTGGTCTTATCCATGATGGTGACTTGGATGTTTCTGAGCTGATGGGCCACACTGTTCTGAAATGGCTTCTGAAGGGACTTCTGTGCATCCATCTATCATAAATAGTGCCATAGAAGACCCCTATGCCTCTGTCCAGCAGCTTTCCCTTAGCCATGAACTTGGGTGGATCCCCAGGACCTGCTCATCAAGGGAACAGTTCACTGGGCTACCCAGAGTCATGACGCTGAGTGTGGAGCAGAGGAGGGAGAAAATGGTCTGTGAAGCCCTGGGTGAGTTTGGTGTCAAAAGGTACTTCATTGAGAAGGCAGGTACTTGGCATGGCACACAGAAGTCACTCTCAGCTCTGAAAACAACTCTGGTTTGATTCTGCGTCAGCTGTTTAAATCTATAAGGGTAAAATGTCTTGTTACTTTTTAAGGTGCCACACATGGTCGTTAGTATACTGTCTTTCTGGAAATGCTTTCTTGAATAAACCATGTTTCGAAACTGGGTTGGTTAATGAGACATTTTCTGTTCTTTTCTGTGCAAGCAATTACATCTTCAGAGGAATGCCCTCTGCGTGATTCCTAGAGATTTCTTCCAGCTGCTGCCAAACCTGACTTGGCTCGACCTCCGGTACAACAGAATCAAGGCGCTTCCCTCTGGGATTGGCTCTCACAAGTGAGTCAGAGTTCCTGTTCCTTCTCTTTAGGCTGCATCAGTGCCTGCTTTCCTGGGGTTACTTTAGAATGCAGGTGTTAGATCATTTTAGAGCCAGTCGGAGGTGTGCTGTCCAAATGCGCCACACTCTCCTAGCTGTGACTATGACGGCCTGGAGGCCAGTGTGCAAATCAGAGCTGGGGGCGTAGTAAGGTCTGGAGCGTCACTGAGCTTGGAGCCTACAGGGTTGGATCTGGAGTGTCCCCCAGAGGCTCCTGTGTTGAGGCTTGGTCCCAGGCAGCAATGTCCAGAGGCAGGGCTTTGGGGAGGTAATTGAACCCTACAGGCTGACCTTGTCAGTGGACCAACCCGTTGATGGGGCATAGCTGAAGGGACACTGGGAGGTGGTAGACACTGTAGGAGGTGGGACCTCGTTGCAGGAAGTGGGCCAGTGGGGGTGTCCCTGGGAGAGTGTCTCCTGTCCCCTGCCCCTTCCTCCCTCTCTGCTTCTTGGATGCCAGGAGGGGAGCCCTTTTCTCCGCATGCCCTGCCATCACCACAGGCCTAAGAGCAATGTGCCAGCCGACTGTGGCCCTAAGCCTTTGGAACTGTGAGCCCAAATGCTCCTTTAAGCTGTTCTCCTCGTGTATTCATCCCACAGTGGGGAGCCAGCCCGCAGAACCCATGTTCTCAACTCTGGGATTCATTTAGGGAGAGCTGGGAAGTCCCAGGAGGGGTGAGTGGAGAGGGAGCAGTGGGACTTGGCCTGAGCCACACCATGAGGGGAGGCTGCAGGGACGAGAGTGGAAGCAGAGGGATGGCTGGGAGGCCACTGCAGCCGTCCAGGCCAGAGGCAGCACCTGGCCGCGCTTCGGGTGGGGTGGAGGTGGRGCTGGAGAGGAAGTGTCGTGTCCTCCCGACTGAAACACCCAGGGTCCCTCCAGGGGAACTGGGCTGCGTGAAATATCCACACAAGAGACAGACTTTTCTCTTTGAGTTCATGTGACAGCTCCTCTGACCTTAAGGGTCCCCAGAAAGAGAGCGAGCGAGCATGTGCTGAACCCTTTATTGAGGAGAAGCCATTCAAATGAGGCAGGGGGTCAGGTTTCAGGGGGTTGAGTCTGGCTTCCTGATGTCTGCTGTCAGCAGGTTGACTGACGTCTAGGAAGGTCATGCTCAAAGGCAGAGCCAGAGAAGGGGACACACAAAGGGCATTTCCAGGGAACATTCTGTCCCAAGCAGGGCAAAGGGGTAACATCACAAAGGAACAGGAGAGGGTGGCTCAATCCATGGGGCGACCGGCCACCGTCTGAAGGCGTGTCCTCAAACTTCAAGCAGTGTCCAGGTCACTACGAGATGTGGTGAGGGTCAGAGCCTCTCGGGCTCAGGGAAGGAAAATCCGAATCATTCAGACTCGCTCCCCACCAGGAAGAGGGGCGTTCCTACACCATGGTGTCCCCGGTGACTGTGTCATGCAGGCTGCGGTGCAGTGCCAGGGTGAGGCTTTTGGAAGTAGTTTAAGGAGTGCTCTTGCTCCATGTGACCATGAGGAGTGCCCGTCAGTCGCTAGCCCAGTCTGATGACAGGCTAGTACTGAAGCAGGTGGGGACGCCTGGAGCGCTGGGGGGCGTCACGGGTGGACCCAAGAGGAGCCAGCATTTGAGGCAAGGCTGCCCAGCAGCCTCCTGTGCCTCTGGGCTGGTGGCTTCTGCATTTGTGAAGGCTTCCTGCCTCACAGGGCCATCAGCCTCTGTGTTTGGATGAGTGAGTGCTTTTTGTTCATAAATTGTCTTAGCCTCAGCACTCAGTTCGGGTGAGTAATTGCTACTCAAGAGTAAAAATAAACTAAAGCCTATTTCTGCAAGTACACTTCTTCCTAAAATAAGCACACAGAGCTCAGAGTTTGGAATTCTTTGATTTTGCCAGCCAATGCCTGCTGCTTCTTGTTGTTTAGGTACACCTTGTTCTGTGATTTATGACCCATTATATGATTAAGATGGGATCAGTTTGCTGAAGAGCTAAGACATGTCAATTAGAAATCTTGAGTGATCGTAGACCTATTAAAAACCTTAGACTTTCCCTTTCTCAGTGACTTGGACATGTGAGTTTTCTAGCAGAGAGAAATTCTTAAAAAATAGATCCCCAGGCAGACAAGTCCAATTTTCTATGTAGATTTGTATGTTCAATTGAGAATCATTGAAATGAAGTAATCTATGAGTGAAGGTTGAACTGCTAGGACGTAAGGGACTGTGTTACAAGTCAGTCGTTTGTTTACAGTGTGGATGAGAACATTCTGGGGCAATGGTACATGGTAGGGGACTCTCCTGTGCTCTTGGGAAGCATCCCACCTCCCAAGAAGAAGCACTGCCGCGAGGGCCGAGCTCCCCKCGGGGCTTTGGCGCTGGAGAAGAGGAGGCGAGCTGACTCTGTCCTCTGCCATCCTGGGTGTCTGGGGCCCTACTGGGAGAGACAGACGTCTCACAGGGAGAGACACCATCCTTGCTTCCTGGTAGCTGTGTCTGTGTGGTGAGAGTGAAAGGGACCAAAACCCAGCAGCCAAAAGGGCAGCCCTGGGATGGTCCACCTTGAGCACTGCAGGGAAGGATTCCCTCAGCAGTTTATTCCTTAAAAACCCCAATAGTAAGGAAGAACCAAGAGGGTAAAAGAAAACTGTCTAATCCTTCGGTAATCGGATTTTCCTCTGGATTGCAATCAGAAAATTCATTTTCATGACATACTGGCGGGAAGCCTCTGTCTTGTACCTGTGTCTTCGTCAGCTGCAATCTGGCCTCAAAAGATCACAAACATGCTGGCTCCCTCGCTGTGCCTTCAGCCCGAGGGTCTGGGGCCCTTCTCAAGGGCACCCTGGGAGAAGACAGGACTCCTGGTCACTGTCCACTGTCACCTGCTGACGCTGGCTTCACCAAGAGACAGTGCAGGAAGACGGTGCAAGCCCTGCCCTGCTTGGCCTCCTGGGCTGACCTGTGGCCCCGTTGGCCCTCCCTGCAGCAGCTCAGGCGGTGCTGAGCCAGGAGCACGGGCAGCAGGCAGCACCAGCCCCTACTGGTGGCAGCACCTGCCCCAAAAGAAGCTTGGGCCACGCTTCTGTGTGCAATGACCCTGGCTGGTAGAAGGCTGCACGGCTCCAGTGGCTCCAGCTGGACAGTGCGGACCTGGCTGGGGTGCAAGTTGGTGCAGTCCACAGTGGCAGCTCTCCTTCCCCACACAGCTTCTCAGACCACCCCACATGGCAGAGTTGGCCACACTCACTTCCCCTACGTGAGGCAGTACCTGGGGGGGGGGGGGCCTGTCTGAGTCTCATTTGCCTTGGGGGGTGAAAAAGTTCACCCACATCACAGCTGACCAAGATCTCAACGTCTTGAGTACGCAGTTGCACAGGTGGACAGATGATACAGTCCTCAGAAGTAGATGTGAAAAATGAGCAGAAGAAGAAGTGCAAAATAAAGTTTAATGTAAAATACTGATTTTTTCCATCATGATTCAGTCAGTGAATTTTAGAGGGCACCTTTTGTATACCCCGTCTGTCTATGGCACATTTTGTCTTAATGCATGAGCTGTTAATAGGCACTACGGAGAGAAGGCACACATCTAGAAGTCCCCTCTGGCTGTGCCTGCCTTGAGACTTCCCAGAAGCCTGGTGTGTGACTGCCTCTGATGGCGTAGGTGTGTCCTGCACAGCTGGGTCTCCAAACACTGCTGAAACTCCTTCCGGAGCCCAGGAAGCACCTGGACTGCTCACAGCGTGCCATGGGTTGGGGTCAAGGCGCAGTCCCGACGGGAAGAGGTGGAAAGCCTAGCGCAGGGCTTCTTGGCTGGCGGGTTTGCCCCAGAAGACTGTTGGCAGTGTCCAGAGACAGTGGGGCTGTCACAGCTGGAGGGAACCACACAGCATCTCTAGGGGGAGGCCCAGGATGCTGCTGAGTGCCCACGGTGCCTGGGCAGCACCCACAGTGCCCAGGCAGCACCCACAGTGGAGAGTGGCCTGGCCCCAGGTACAGGTGGTGCCGGGGCAGAGCCTTACGCTGACTGGGGCTGCCAGTGGCAGGTCAGTGCTGGAATCGGGGTTGGGATCTATGTTGCACTTACTTCTGAAAGAGAAGGAAAATGAAGAGATTTGACGGTATATTTTAGGTGTGGTCATTTTTAATTTTCTGCTTTTTAATTTTTAATTTTACTTTTTTGCTTTAAAGGCATTTGAAAACTTTGCTTTTAGAAAGAAATCCTATCAAAGTGTTACCCGTGGAGCTGGGTAAGTGTTAGAACAATAAAACAACAGATGATTTTAAATGCTGCTCTTTTGGGTTGCTGGAGCCTGTGGATGCACACAGCAGATAGGGCTGGAGGGTGGGTAAGGTAGTATTTCCTTTGTTTTGGTATCAGGGATTGAAACCACAGGTGCTTAACCATTGAGTCATATCCCCCTCCCCCCAGCCCATTTTATGTTTTATTTTGAGACAGGGTCTCGCTAAGTTGCAGAGGATGGCTTTGAACTCACGACCCTCCTGCCTCAGCCTTCCAAGTGGCTGGGATTACAGGCGTGCGCCACCATGCCCAGCTGTCATGGCTGCTTTGAAGTCTGTCTGCTGGACCCAGCATCTGGGACTGCCCAAAGGCAGTTCTGGGTGACTGCCCACTCCCCGAGGGCAGGACACATTTCCCCACCTCTGTGGGTCTGGTGCAGCTTTTATGCAGCAAATGGGTGTTGCGAGTGGTGCATGCAGGTGGCTTTTGCTGCTATTGTTTCATGTAGCCTGTTCTCAATCTGTGGATTGTGCTTTCCTGCAGCTTTTAAAGAGCAAGCTCAGCTGTCCTCCTCTGCTCTGACCCCAATACCAACTAGAGTCGTTTTAAAGGCAAGACCAGCTGCTTTGATCTCGTCTGTGTCCCCGCAGCAGCGTCTTGCAGAGCACTGACGTTTCTCTCCTCCATTGCAGGGAACGTGGCCACGCTGAAGGCACTGAACTTAAGACACTGCCCTCTGGAATTCCCTCCTCAGCTCATCGTGCAGAAAGGAGTGGTGGCCATCCTGACCTTCCTGCGGATCTGTGCGGTGGAGCACTCCTTCCCCAGAGAGTCAGCTGCTTCAGGTTTGTGGGACGATGGCTGGGGATGCAACTGATGACATCGTGCATGGACTGGGGGTCAAGCTTTTCTAGGCCAGGGTGGAGCTCGTTCCTCTCTTCTTGATGTCCTCCTGAAGATCTGGGCAGCTGCTGTCCTCTGAGGGTCCCAAGAGGACCAGCCACACCACCTCGCTTGGCCTGTGCTCGAGGATCCACGTCCCCAGGGTGCATCACAGAGCCTGTCTGGAGGTCACTGTGGGAACTTAACGAAGCCAGCAGGGAGCAGAGGCTCAGGAGGCCCGTGCTCCATTAGAAGACCAAAGTAAGCCTGCAGGTACAGGAGAGGAGCAGAGGGGCCCTGCCAGCGTGTTGGTCTTGTCAGCTCTGCAGCAGGCCCTTGCTCAGCTACTCCACCTTGTCAGCACATGACCGGAAGATGTTTTCAGGGCTCACAATCTCATCTGATCTCAAATGGTCTTGTAGTTACTTACACTTAGAAAAAGTAAAGTGAAATAGAGATGAAGGAGAATCACCATGAAGCTCACCAAAACAGTAAACATTCTGAAACATTGACTTCACCGTGGTTAAACTTGGACTAAGTCATATACTCTATACGTAGGAACGTGTGCATTTTTAATGATTAGCCAAGAAAGCCACATAGATAATGTAAATTGCATATGTAAACAGTTGGCCTGTGGCAGTGACACGTGAGCTTGCACTTGTGGCACAGGTAGCATGTACTTGGTAACAGCTTCCAGTGATCCCAAGCCCACAGCCGAGCTCCTGAACTCCTTGGAGGTGCCCTGGGTAAGGAGACTTGCTTCTGGGCCTGTTGGGAGTTGCCTCCAGGCACGGCCACTGTGACTCTCCTGGGGTCTTCAGCCGGTGGGAGTTCTCCAGGGAAGAGGCTGCAGGGCTTTGAAACAACAGAGGAGGAAGAAAAGCCTCTCTCCTTGGTGTGCTCATTGCACTTTATAAACAGAGACTTCCGGAGGGCTGTGGTTTTTGGTTTTCGTTTCTTGTTTGCTTATGTTTGGGGGTTTTTGGCCATTGTGATAAGCTTTCCAGATGCCTTCTAGGGGCTCCTGCAGTGAGTCCCTGCCTACAGCACCCTGTGCAGAGTGGTCTGCTGATGGGCTCAGAGGAGCTGGGCTTGTACTTGGCAGAGACAAGAGGAGCCTGGGGAGAGAGGAAAGAGTAAGAGCTTCATTCTCCTGATGGACTGTAGCATCCAGAAGCTGGTAGAAAAGCCTGGTCCAAGATGACCAGGCCTGTGCTTAATGCATCTGTCCTCGATCCATCGCAGATGGCCCGGATGCCTCACTTCGGAGTGTTGGTCATACACACTGTGCGATGTCTAGGATGAATCCTCGGAAGCACCTCCAAGATCTGGATGCTCGAGCCAGTGGCTGGCTTGGAGGCGAACCCGGGAAACACTGGTGGAGGGCAGTGTACCATGAGCCAGAGGGCCGAGAGCAGCTGGTGAGGACACCAGGTGCCAATCAGAAGACCCCCAGGAATGTCTGCATAGGAAGACTCACAGAGTGGTGGTGCCAAGCCCAGGAAGCACTGCACCCTGGTGCCCTTAGCTCTGGAGATGGTGTATGCTCTCCAGGCCTGCCATCCTGTGTGAGAGGCATGTGCAGTGGCATCAAAAGCTGCCACGAATCTTGTGACATGGACTGGGAAAGGCAGATAGCCATTGTGATGCTAGAGACAGGTTGGTTGGGGACAGTGAAAATGGCACCCAGTGGAGGAGTACACACACATTGACCAAGCTCCAGCTGGCATCTCCTCCAGGAGGGAGTGCCCTAGCAGAGCGGCTGGCGTCTCCTCCAGCCGAGAAAGCAGCCAGCTTTTGATCATGTGTGGAGGTCAAGGGTGGGCTGTAATGCAGGAGTGTTTCTCACTGGCCCGATACCCTGGCCTTCAAGAGTGGGCAGTCAGCTTACCCTGGGAACTGCTGGAGTCTCTGCTGGCAATGCCATGCTGCACGGCACCTGACCTTGGCATGGTTTGGGCTGCATAGCTACTGAGAGCATGTGGGTGGTGTACTCTTAGCAGGCAGCAGGTCACAGGCCCATAAGTGTCCTTTGGGTTGTCCCCAACAGTCTCGTTCGGTAGGCTGGCTCCTTCTGGGGTGCATGGCAAAAGCGCCTGGCTTTTATGATGCTGATGGGTTGTGGGGAGTGGGAAGAATGAACAGGATGCCCCCGGTGGGGAAGAGTCTGCAAGTTGGGGTCTTGGACACATCTGCACCCCTGGCTGTCTGACCTGGACTGCACCGTGGAGGGCAGTGGCACTTGGCTGGGGCATCAGGTAGCATGAGCCTGGGTGGCTGAGGAGAGGTAGGCATGAGGGCCTGGACTCTGCAGCTGGGGGGCTGCGTGAGGACAGGGGCCGTTAGGCCTACCTGGGGGCCCAAGATGCAGTCTACTCAAGGATAGACCCCACGGACCCCATGGAGGGACATTGCACAGGACAGTCTGCACCCTTCACAGAGGAGCACACCAGGGAAGGGAATGGCCATCAGGGTCTTTCCAGATTGGAGGAGACCAAAGGAGCAGGAAGCCATGAATGCTTGACCTATTTGGAGAGAGATGGAAGAGGGCACTGTTGGGACACATAGAGGGTCTGTGGGTGGACAGTGAGCCTTCAGTCTGACACCCCAGTTCTCCAGGCTGGGGTGGCCCTTGCGGGAGAGTCCATCTGAGGTAGAAGCCGTGTCTGAGAGGGAGGGCAGCGTGGACACAGCTGTGGCCCTGGTGCCAGGTGGGACTCCACAGCTGCGCACCTGGCATCAGGCGCAGCTCAGGCCCTCCACCCTGTTCTTGCACTGTTCTTTAAGTTTGAGGCCATTTCAAACTAAAAAGCCTAAAATACATCAAATAGTTTGTCAAAAATGAATACCTGCTGCTTCTGTGTCTTCCCACGTCAGGGCTGGGCCCCCAGGTGGTTTCCAACGGCTGTGCATGGTCTCTGGCCTCTCGTCCTTGCTGAGTGTGGCACCATCTTCCTCCAGGGGGCGCTCTCAGGAGTCTACGGTTTCCACTCTCCCCTAAATGGACTATCCACAGGCAAACTGGCCAAATGTGCACATTTCCAGTTGCTAAAAATACACCAGGGGAATTTCACAACTAATTAGGACTTTTAAAAGTGTGTCTTTGCCTATTTTGTGAGCCTTTTCTTAAATACTGCAAACCCCCAGCATGTAGCAGTCCGTGAGGTGCAGAGGTGGGGGACATGCTGTCCTGTGCAGTGCGAGTGTGGCACCTGTGTGAGTTCCCACTCACTCACTGTGGTTTAGGCAGGGAGAGAAGCCCCCTGGGCATGTACAGGGATGACAGCTGGGTGGTGCCCCTTGGCACCTGCAGCCCCTTCCACGGGGTGTTTAGAGAAAGGCTCTGCTAAAAGGAGAACAATCTGTAAACTGCTAATTCTGAAAATACTTTTTATAATGAGTGCTTGAGTGTGCAGTTTCATTCAGTGTTCTTTCTCAACTACTTTCCACCCAATTGCAGTTTACGGAGCAGGCTGCAGCTGGAGCTGGGGTGGCCGTGCAGCTGACACGTGGATGGCAGACAGACAACGGGCTGGGCCTGAAAGTCTGACAGTGGTTGTATGCTTTACCAAACAATAGCTCAGAGTGGTCACAGCTGTTTAAAATTTAAGAACAGAAGGTGCAGCAGTGACTGGAGTGAGACACTCCCTTTGGCCCCCATCCCTTAGGTGCTGCCCCGCCTGGCAGGGCCCCTGCTGCAGCCTCTGTCCTCCCGGCTCACAGTTCTGAGCACCTGTTTCCATCAACAGAAATGCAGTCTGGTCCCAATTCCAAACACAGTGAGAAACACTCCTAGGCTAGTTTTTCTCTCCCGTGGCTGATGTGGATCCAAAGTCTCTGATAGTCAGCAGAGGCATGGCCACACAAGAGCAGCAGGCTAGCCATAAGTTAAGTCAGGGCTCGAGGGCTCAAGGGTGGGAGCAGAGATGCCGACTGCATGTGGAGAGACTCCTCATGTGCACACGTCCTACCCCGGACAGTGACACTTGTGCAAAGAGATCTGGCCTCTTGGAGAGATGTCTGCTCCTGTCTGTGCAGCAGCTGCTGGGCTCCGAGGCAGCCTGCTGCGTGGAGGTGAGGGGACGCCCTCCCACCTTTCCGGCATCTGGGCGCGCACTGCTCTTGGAGGTGGCCTTGATGCTCAGGCTGCTAAAATGGCATTTCCTTCTGTCAGAGGCTCCACCAGTTAAGAAGCTGGACCCGAGTGAGCTTCCAGACCCCCAGCTGGATTTGTCCCAGGACTGCCTGCCTCATGAGAAAACCAGGAGCCCTTGGGACCTGAAGGCCACGCTGGGGGGACAGGAGGCGGACTTCTTCCCGCCCGTGGAAGGGCTCCACCTGAGTGAGTTCCGGAGGCCCCCCGACGCCACAGAGCACTGGGCAAGCGAGGAGGAGATCAGGCGCTTCTGGAAGCTGAGACAGGAGATCGTGGAGAACGAGAAGGCTGAGGTCCTGGAGCACCAGCTCCTGCCCATCGAGCTGCCCCCAAATCTCAAGGCAGCATTAAGCAGTAAGGGGAAAGAGCACCTAAAGCCACGGAGCCTACTCAGGTAAGGCTGGGAGCAACTGAAAGTGTTCGCAGAAGTGTGACCACAACTTACAGTGTGTGAGTGCCACGAGTGCCACCCGGGTCAGGACCAGAGTAGGCAGGAGCCCCCAGGAGAAGGCACTCAATGGGAGGTCACTTGAGAGAAGGCCAGACAGGGTTGGTTGTGTGTGCACCTGTGTGCACGTATGGATGTGTGATGTCACAGGGAGAAGGCCAGTCACAGGTGGTGTGTGTGTGTGCACACATGTGCACCTATGTGCATATATGGATATGTGAGGTCACAAGGGAGAAGACCAGTCACAGGTGGTGTGTGTGTGCACGCACCTGTGTGCATGTATGGATATGTGAGGTCACAGGGAGAAGACCAGTCACAAGTGGTGTGTGTGTGTGCACCTCTGTGCACATATGGATATGTGAGTTCACAGAGGAGATAGACTAATCACAGGTGCAGTGTGTGTGCATACCTGTGTGCACGTATGGATATGTGAGGTCACAGGGAGAAGACCAGTCACAGGTGGTGTGTGTGTGCGCACACCTGTGTGCATGTATGGATATGTGAGGTCAGAGAGGAGATAGACCAATCACAGGTGGTGTGTGTGTGCACACCTGTGTTCATGTATGGATAAGTGAGGTCACAAGGGAGAAGACCAGTCACAGGTGGTGTGTGTGTGTGTGTGTGTGCCCACCTGTGTGCATGTATGGATATGTGAGGTCACAGAGGAGATAGACCAGACACAGGTGGTGTGTGTGTGTGTGTGTGTGNTATGTGAGGTCACAGAGGAGATAGACCAGACACAGGTGGTGTGTGTGTGTGTGTGTGTGTGCACCTGTGTGCATGTATGGATATGTGAGGTCACAGAGGAGATAGACCAGACACAGGTGGTGTGTGTGTGGGTGTGTGTGTGTGTGTGTGTGCGCACCTGTGTGCATGTATGGACATGTGAGATCACAGAGGAGATAGACCAGACACAGGTGGGGTGTGTGTGTGTGTGTGTGTGCACCTGTGTGCATGTATGGACATGTGAGATCACAGAGGAGATAGACCAGACACAGGTGGTGTGTGTGTGTGTGTGTGTGTGTGTGCACCTGTGTGCACGTATGGATATGTGAGGTCACAGAGGAGATAGACCAGACACAGGTGGTGTGTGTGTGTGTGTGTGTGTGTGTGTGTGTGCCCACCTGTGTGCATGTATGGATATGTGAGGTCACAGNTGTGTGTGTGTGTGTGTGTGTGTGTGCCCACCTGTGTGCATGTATGGATATGTGAGGTCACAGAGGAGATAGACCAGACACAGGTGGTGTGTGTGGACATGTGTATGTCTGTGTGCACATATGGATACATGTATAGAGGAAAAATGTGTCAGAATAACAACTGAACCTAGATGACGTGTCCCCCAGAGCATCTCATCGCATCCAAGGGGACATGACTGGATCTTAGAGATGGGAACGTGACAGATATCTGTGGCCCTCCAGAGCCACCCAGGAGCAGATGCACAGTGCACCTGTGGGGGTGCTGGGCCACATGCGCAGGAGCTGGGTGGCGTGAGGATAGGTGGAGAGGTGTGGGCTGCATGGGAGGGGACTAACGATGGGGGCACTGACCCTTCTCCGTCCTGGAGGTCGAACATTGTAAAGGTGTAGGGACCTTGAGCACTCTGACAGACAGTGACCTTGGCAGTGTGCCGTGGGTTTCCAGCCACAGCAAGGCCTAGGAGGCCCAAGCTCTTAGGGTGTTCTCCGTCCCTGGGGACAGCTGTGTAGCCCGCTGCTCCCTCCCTCCTTCCCCTGCTGTTAGGAATGATAATGATGCTTTTCCAAGTAAGTCGTGGCAAGCTTGTCCCCTTTAGATCCCAGCTCCAGCTGGGCGTGTGCTTGGCAGCGTGGGCTGAGGCCGCCCAAGCCTGTGCCTCGACTCAGTCACATGCTGACGCTGCAGCCACTTCTCAGGGGGGTCTGGGGATGTCTTTTCCTGTGACTTCTGCTTCAGTCGCTGGCATTCAGTGGTGGTCAGTGGGGCTCAGTGTCCCGCTGCAGTCCACCATCCTGGTGACTGCTGAGATGAGCACAGGTCCCTGCTGTGGCTCTGGTGACCACGGTTGGTAGCTATCGTGTCTCCCGAGGCAGCCGATTGGCAGGCCCTGCTCTTGGACTTTGAGTCGAGTTCGCAGTGCTGTCTGTGTGGGTGCAGAGCATGCAGTGGAGTGCACTTTGTGTTTTAGGAGGAAGACTACCTCCTTCAAGAGCATGTTACCCGACCTCTCGTTGCCGTACCAATCGTCCCTTTACCAGACAGTGGCTCGAGTGAGAAGACTGGAGGAGAGCCGGGTCTTGGCCCTCAGGGACCTCCGGGAGAAGCAGGCTCTGGTGGAGCAGAGGAAAAGGTGCGTCTGCCGTGCAGGCGAGGCCCCCTGCTGCTGCCGGGTGTGTGGACTGCGCAGGACTGAGGGCGGCAGCCGAGGAGGCCTGGCCTGCTTCCTCCTCCCTGGCCAGGCTGCGGCTCTCTGAAGCGCCTAGCTCTCGATTCACAGCTCCTCGCTGCCTCCTCATGGGGCTGGCACAGGTGTGGGCACAGTGCTCCCTGTGGCCATTCTTGGCACAGTCCCCTGCTTGCCTTCTCACCACACTGCCTGCCTTCGGGTGTCTCCCTAATTCCTTACTCCTTCTTGGTCCCTTCCTCCTCCCCTGTCCATCACTGACCCAACATCCTTTTCTGAGGAAGGGCATCTAGACACAGTATGGATGAGTTTACTCTCGTCCCCTGCCCCTGGCGCATGGTGGCTGGCTTGCTGTTGGCAGAACACCAGGCCCTGTCCTCAGTTTCTGCCCTGCTCTGCCCATCAGTGCTGCTGACCACCCAGCAGCACCCTGCTTCAGGACCCGGGAGACTGGCTGGCGTGGACTGTGTCCACAGCCCCTGTGCTCCTTGCCTTGTGCTCAGGTTCACCATTGAGGGCGCCCAGCAGGTGCTTGGGGAGACAGGGAGAGAAAGGGCAGACTTTCTGTCTCCCTGGCCTCTCCACCTCTCCCCAGGCTGGCTACTCCATCCCTGGTGTGCCCGTGGGCCTTGGGGTGACCTGGCCCAGGCAAGCCCAGGTGCCTGCACTGCCCCTGGGTTCCTGCTCCCTCCCCTTCAAAGCCTGCTGAAGTGCCCACAGGGATGTGTTTCTGTCTGCAGCCAAGGGGCGCCCAGCTTCTGCGGCGGTTGGCAGGTCCCACCCAGCACCCAGACCCCTGCACCTGGCTGTCCTCCAGGAGCAACTCAGGCTTTTCTAGGAAAAAAAAATACCTTGAAGGCAGAAGCAGGTCAGACCCTTGATGCCCTGCCTGGAGCTCAAGACCTGCGGGCCTCCTTGCTGAGCAGCTCCCAGAGGCCAGCATGTGGTTAGGCTCCATCATGCCACCCATGGAGGGAGGTCACCCCCTTGTTTCCCAGGGGGCAAACAGGTCCCTCCTGTACTGTGTGACTGAGAGGCACAGACACTGCCTGGAGTCCCTTGGCTAGGAGATGGGAGGAGGTGGGGGTATTGCCAGCACACTGGGCTGGTCCAGGGTCCATCTAGGCAGGTGGCAGAGCCTATCGTCACCCAGGAGGAGGTGCCAAGAGACACGCAGACCTGCGCCCCGAGGGTAGAAGGCCTGGGGAGGGTGCAGCCAGGCTTGATGCCGCAGGGCCGCTGTGGTGGGCAGAGGGTCAGGAGGAGACGAGAGGCCAGTCTGGGGCATGAGGTGGAGGAGAGCCAACCAGGAACTGCCAGCAGACAGGAAGGTGCCCCTTGGGGCTCCAGAGGAGGCTGCAGGGTGGATCAGCCCTCGGCCGGCGAGGGCTCTCAGAGGCCCATCCCATCCCCAGCCACAGGGGACAACTCAGGAAGTCTGCACTCCTCAAGGAGCCAAGGCCCAGCTGCAGACTCCGGATGGCCTTGCTGGAGAGAGCTCACAGCCCCTGGGCATGGCCCTGCCCCAGGGAGTAGGCACTGTGCCCAGGGCCGGGGAGACTGGAGGCACTCAGGTTCTAGAGAAAGCCACCTCGTGGGAAGTCTGCTTGTGAGTGGGTGGTCTTTGGAACCTTCACAGGCAAGGCCCTTCCTGGAGGGCCCATGGGCCCCTGTGCTTCCCCTTGGGGACAGGCAGACAGGAAGAGAAGGCTGTTTGTATGCAGCTAAAAAGGCAGAATTCTTTGTGAGCACTGCTTGAAGCTGCCTGTGGCTTGTGACATTGATACCACAACGTGTTTTCTCCAGAGAAAAGAGAGCCCTGCAGGAGTGGAGGGAGCAGGCCCAGGTGATGAGGAAGAGGCAGGAGACGCTCAGTCAGCTGCTGCCCCTGCAGAGGAGCATGGTAGGCACAGCGTGGTGGGCAGGGCGGGCAGGGCACCTCCGCCTGGGCCAGCCCTGCACGGCAGGTGGGGCTGCACGTGGTCCCACATAGCTGGGGCGTGAGACTGCCGGGTGGAGCTGGGCATCCTCTGGCCTGGCCTCTGGGACACCCTCTTAGCTGCTGCCTTGTAAGATCTGTCCAGTGGATCAGGTGCTTGCAGAGGGAAGGGAGATAGGAGTTAAGGGGAAAAGGGGAAAAATGAAAATAAAACACCACCAGGTTCCACGTGTTTTCAGGTGTCTTCCTGGGACCCTTACTCTCATCTCTGCCTCAGAGGCCGGGAAGCGGTGGCCTCAGTGATCTTGTCCTTGGTCCTGGGGTTGCCAGCTCTCAGGCTGGGTGGCATAAGTGCTGTGGGTGTAGCTCCTGTTCCCATATCCCCAAACCACTTGAGGTGCAGGTGACAGGAGGGTGCTGGGAGCCGGCCTCTCCTCCCGGCCTCGTCTGGTGCTCTGTTGTGAGCCGACCACAGGTGTGCTGCTCCACTGGGCCACCCGGGTCTCTTGTCACTTCTTGAAGAGCTGTTCGTTGCATGATCCCGAGAAGCCAGGTGCCTCTGTGGTGCCCAGCACCACCCCGGGAGGTCCCCGAGGCCTTCGCCTGCACCCCAGCAGCAGCTGCAGTGCTGCGCGGCGGCATCTTGATTTCACATCACACTGGTTTCCGACTCACCAGAGTCTCGCACGCTCCTCACCCAGCTGGTGTTGACATCCCGTGTGACCTCAGAGCAGGGCTGGGGACTGATGTCCACGCAGGTGCTGCGCCAGGGCCCAGACAAAGACCACGTCTCACCAGCTTCTCCACCGACGGGTCGCCCTGTTCTGCTCAGGTGTCCCGTGGCTCACTGTCCTCACATCCCCCAGGGACCTCCAGGAGAGGGCGGTGGTCAGTCTTCCTGTGTCCTTTGTGACCTTGTCGACCCTGTAGTGCTGATCAGTCACTGTGCAAGCACCTGGGCCAGGACTTACCTGGCACTTCTCCCAGGGAGCCCCAGGTTTTCCACTGGGGGCAGGACCTCAGGAGTGGCCTGTGTCTTCCTGGGTGCAGCACTGGTGGTGGTTGGCCTGGCCCCTGTCGCCTGGTCAAGGTGGTGTCTGTCTCTCCCTGTGGTCTCAGGGTCCTCCCCTCTGTAGCTGATCCGGCCTCACCTCCAGGAGACCTGGAGCCTTGCACGCACCTGTGGCTGTGGCTGCAGCTGGCAGGGCTTGTCTGCAGCATCTGGCCTGCTGCTGATGACCCTGGGAATCTCTGGGTTGACTTCTGCTCACCCTTTACCTGCTGCAATGTCAGTGGGTCGGCACCACTGACCACAGTAGGGCCTTTGGGGCTCTGCTGTGGTTGGGGTCCTGGGTCCTGCCTGATGGTACGGGCTGCCTGCACCTGGCCCGGCACACCATGACAGCCATGCCAACTCCAAGCCTGGCCTGCTCACACTCTAGATGGAGAGGTGGCCACATAGTGGCCTGCCGTTCAAGATGCTTTGGGTCCTCCCTTCAAACAGAACCTGTGGCTTCAAGTCAGAGGCATGTCCTACCCTAGAGATCTTTCTCAGGAGCAGAATCAGCGTTTGGCTTCAAGATGCCCGTGAAGCACTATCTTCCTGGGGGCTCAAAGGTGTCCCAGCCTGAAACCCCACATCTTCCTTTATTGTGGCAGAGTGCTGAGGCCACTGCCGCTGTCATGGTGTGGCTGTCTGTCCTGCTCAGCATTCGTGCCCATCCACACACTGAATGTTGTGGATAGACAACATGTTCTTTATTTCCTGACATATTAAAATTTTAGATATATATTACATTGCTTCTAGGAAACACACACACAATGACACACCCTTAAGAAGGCTTTCAGAGCTTGATTATAGAAAAAAATTGAAAATAACTTAAATGTCAGTAGGTAGATATGACTAAAGACATGGTTACATCCAAACTATGAGTTGTCAGCATAGCGTCAAAAGCGTTGAGTTAGATCCATTATCTACCGACTTGAAGATATCTTGAAGACAAGGTAAGCCAGGTGTAGTGGCACATACCTGTCATCCTGGTGACTCAGGAGGCTGAGGCAGGAGGATCCCAAGTTCCAGCTCATCCTGAGCAACCTAACAAGACCCCGTCTCAAAATGAAAAATGAAAGGGGCAGGACGTAGCTTAGAGGTAGAGTGCCCCTGGGTTCAACCCCCAGTATACCCCCCACAAAAACCCCACCAAAGTGGCTGTAAGTCCAACCAACACGATTGCAGAACATGCACAGATCCTGTTAGAGCGTGGCTGGTAGTGGAGGAGGAACAACACTCCCAGGGCCCTGGCCAGGCCTGAGTGTGCAGCTTTGATCTTGAAGAAGGGAAGAGTGGTAGACTGATTCAGACAGCAGGGCCAGGACGCGGCTGTGCCTCCATCTCCTGCTGCAGCAGCCCAGAGACAAGTGAGACGGTGGAGGCACAGCAGGTCAGGGGCGTAGTGTGCAGGGAGGCAGCAGGCCTGGGGCAGGTGGCTGTGACTACTGGCTTTCCCACGAATCCTGAACCTCAGCATGTGGACATTGTGCCCACCCAGATACTGGAAAAAAGTTTTGTATGGCCTGAATACTATAATCAAGTCCAGAGATGACGACGTTTGTGACAAGGTCTTGGTATCTACTAGGTGAAGATATTTAACAATCAGAGACTCCAAGAGAAGAGTGGGTGGAGGTCCCCACAGCCACACGTGCACACACAGAAACAGCTGCTCAGGAGACTGTCGCTCAGGCCATCCACGGTCTGCGGCAGGACGGGGTGGGGGCTCAGGGAGGGGCCGCCGTCACTGTACAGCAGCTGCCAACATCTTGAGGGAGTGAAACAGTTCATTGTTGTGCTGGGGACTGCACCCAGGGCACGTGCTCTACCACTGAGCTGACACCTGGTCCTTTTGAATTTTTTAAATTTTGAGACAGGTTCTAAGTTACTAAGGCTGGCCTTGAACTTATAGTCCCTTTGCCTCAGCCTCCCAAGTTACTGGGATTACCAGAAAGCCCGGCCTGGAAAATATCTCTCCAAGTTAAGAACAAGTATTTTTGGAAACATCCAGGAGTCCATCATGCCGAAGTAAAAGCAGTCGGGTCATGAGGCGAGTCCGCCTGAGTAAGCCCGGCCGTGCTGCCTGTGACCAGGAGCTGGCCGCACCCGAGGTCTGCACAGCAGGGCCAAGACAGCCTCCCAGCTTGTGCCTGCTCCTGCCGTCGGCCAGAGGACGCGAGAGGGCGCCAGGACCCTGCACATGGCCTGCAGCTGCTCCCCGGATCCTGGGCAGTCAGCGGAAGTGGTGCTCGTCCCCCTCAGGGGTCCCAAGTGTGTGGCCTGTACAGGCGTGACAGGCAGGGGCCTGCTGTGGTGGCTGCAGGGAGGGCCTCCGGCAGCTGGCAGGTGCTCCTGGATCCTGGCTCTGCCCAGAGTCTTCGTTTCTGTTTTTCACGGTGGCTGCCTCGGCACCAGTGCCCCCCACACTCCCGTGTGAAAGGGGCCTTGGCAGCCACTGGCAGGCCCGCACCTTGGTCCCGAGTTCCCCACTCAGGTCTTCCCCACTCGGTCTTCGTCAGAGAGTCGGATACTTCGTGAATATTCTTCCATGTTCGTGGAATGTGCCTGGGTGGGCTTTTTTTTTTTTCCAAATGCTTTTAATATTTTAGAAAATTAAATTTCTGACTTCAGAAGGAAAAAAAACCTCCTGAATGGAGCTTTGTCATCTGTCTGTTGGAGTCACCTGGGGGACACTCCTAGCCATTGGGCCTGTGTCGGTCCCCAGCCCCAGGCCAAGGCTGCTGTGTGCACACCGTGCTCGTCTGGGGTGTTCCATGCAGACAGACCAGGTCCTGGCTCTGGCRGTCCACTCAGACGGGGAACAGACCTCAGTCGGTCCTGCCAGACTGCAGCTGGGGAGCCCCTGGCAGGAAGTTCACCCTCCCATCCTCACACTCACTACCCACTGCTCTGACAGCCCTCCAGTCCTGGCACCCGCACAGACACACCACAGCAGACACACTCGTGCCTGCAGGCACACACGCTCCTGCACACGCAGACCCAGAGGTCCCCCATCAGGCTCCACTGGAAGCCACAGTGAGCAGCGCCCTTGGTGTGTCCACCCCTGGTGTCCAGGTTGCACTCCTGAGTATGGAGGCCCCCAAGCCCCCAGCTCCGGCACTGACGCTATAGGAGCAGCTTGGGACCCCTGTGTAGAGACACCGTCCCCTGGTCCTGGCAGTGAGCTGGCGGCTGCAGTGCAGGATGTGGGCAGGGACCAGCACAGCGCAGGTTACAGAAGCCAAGAGGAAGCTGGGCCTGTTGGGCTACAGCCGAGAGAAGCAGAGGTGAGGGCACAGACGGCCGGCAGGGAGCGGAGCAGGACTGGAGGTGTGGAGTCTCGGGAAACCAGTGTGGCCCAGTGTGCCTGCTGGTGGGAGTGGGAGGGGCCGGCGCCCACCAGGAGTCCAGCCAGCTTCCAGGGGTGGCGTGTGGGAGAAGGGGTGGGCCAGGGCAGTGGACAGGGAGTCGGGCGTTTTCCTACTGACCAGAGCAGGGTGAGAAAGCCCAGGTGACCTGAAGTCTGAGTGGTGTGTCAGGAAGAGGGAGCGTGGTCCAGTGGCGGTGTGGACCTTTGTGGCCATACACAGGAGTCGTTTCCCTGAGTCCAGCTGGTCTCTTGGTTTACAGACAGCCTGTTGGTCTCTGCCCTAGCTGGGCCACCCCTGCCTGGTCACTGTGCCCCTCTCCACATTCTGCTTCCCTGCCATCTCCCAAGTCCAGTAAAATCAGAAGTCGGTCTGATCCAGCAAAGCAGCCCTGGACTGGGGACTGCCCCTGAAAGCCCGTGGACAGCAGGGGCTGTGGGTGTGTTTGGGCCTAGCCCAGTGCTCCCCAGTGCAGTGAGGACAGCCTCCCAGCCAGGCAGGCCTGTGGGTCCATGTGCTCGGCTGGCAGCCAGCTGGCCTTGCCTCCTGGGCACAGGTGGCTCTGCCCAAGCTTCTGTGTGGAAGCCTGGGGCCCGTTTTGGGCAGCGGGCATCATGTTCTCTCAGGTGACAGGATCTCAGGGCGACGGGGGCCAGCCTCGGCAGGCTCAGGGGCCACCCTGGGTCCCTCGCGCCACACCTTTCTCTGCACACCCTGGGCCGTCCAGGAAACCTCCAAAAGCTGTCCAAACCCACCTCCACGGTGGGGGGAGCCCACCCCAGGCCAGGATGGTGACCACGGGTAAACAACACCCCCTTTGAACGGCAGGCCAGGTGCCAGGAGCAGCGTCTTCTCAGGTGCCTGAGAGAGTCTTGTTGCGTTTCCCTAGATGGCATCCAAGTACCCATTCGCCATGGATCTGGTGGACAGTGGGAAAGCCCCACCCAGTCCATCTGGAAGAAGGAGACTCAGCAAAGAGAGGACATCACACACAAGTGAGATCAGGTGGGTGACAGCAGCTGTCCTTGGCCCTCTGGGCTGTCTGCTCCTCAGCTGGGGCTGTGGCTCAGCCCACCAGGGGCGTGGGGGGAGCGGGCCATCGTGCTGCCACTCCCGGGGACCTCCTGCAGGCAGCACAGCCCAGCCGCCCCAGGACTGAGGCTCCAGGCCCTCTGCGGAGACTACTGCCTCGCTGCCACCTGTTTGTCCCACTCCTTGCAGGCCTCAGCTCTAACTCACCCTGCAGCCCTGGCTTCTTGGGCTGACCCTTGGGCCTCAGCTGCAGGAGACTGATGGCCGTGGGACTGGGAGGCCGGTGCTAATTCAGGCGGAGGAGCAGCGACCCCAGGAAGGAACCGCTGGGTCAGGAGGCCACAGTGGGAGGCCACCGAGCAATTGTAGGATCTGAGTCTGGCTATGTGGTGGCCAGGCATCTCTCTCCAGGGGACAGGCCATCTGGGCAACCATCTGGAGCTCAGGAAAGCAGAGAAGCTATGGGGACATGTGGGGCCAACCAGGGAGAGGGGAGAGTGGGAACCTCAGGCTGCACCCTTGGGTCAGCTTAGGGACAGCATGGTGTCACAGAGCAAGGGGCTGAGGCTGAGGGACAGGAGGCCCACAGTTAGCAACAGACCCTGGGCCTCTTCTGCCATCCCAAGTCCTTGTACTGACCATCAGGAATGGGAGCCTCAAGGCTCTGCGTTCGGTGCTGATAGGAAGAGGTCTTTTTAAAACCCCTGCTTGGTAGGACTTCCCACGGCTCTGTTTAAAGATCCAGCAAAACAAGACGTGCTACTCTCCTGTGTGTGCTCACGTGGTGCGGCGGTGTGCAACAGAGGACTGTCCTGTGGCTTTGGAGCTGGGGGGGCCCAGGCAGGGACAGTCCCTGCAGGAGGGGACAGGGAGCCAGGGACCACACCTGGCCTGGAGAAGGAAGGAAGCTGTCTGGGTGGAGGGAGTGCCAGGACTCCGTGCCCAGGCCAAGCTCTGTGGTGCCCTGTGTTCCAGTGGCGGTGCCAGCCTGGAGGAGCTAGTGAAGCATCAGGAGCGGCCAGTGCGGGCACGCTGCAGCTCCAGAGGCGTAGCACCACTGCCGGAGCCGAGGACCGCCACCCAGGACCTGGACTCTGTGAGTGTGCGCACACTGGGTCTGCTGAGCACGGGCCCCCAGCACGGCGGGGATGATGTGTCCTTTCAGAAATGTGGGGGGTGTTCCAGGATCGCCCTGGGTCACCCACTGCACCGTGAGCCTGGGTGTGCTGGGACCTGAGGGTGCAGCAGGAGGTGTCCGCCAGCAGCAGCCACAGCCCTGGATGGCAACTGTCCACTCCACACACCTGTGGGGTGCCTGTGGAGGCTCTAGCCTAGGGCTGGCCAGGGGGCACTGCAGCCAAGGGGGCTTGCCAGTGACCATGTGCCCAGCGTCTGTAAGGGAAAGCCTGATGTTCACGGGGTCCAGGCGCTTCTTGGGAGCCTCCTGAGCAGACCTGCCCCCAAGCCCCTCCAGATGCTTTGACTTTCAACCTCGTCCCAYGCAGTGCTGCCCTGGGAGCCGCCCAGGCTGAGCTAGTGACCTGCGGGCACAGCGACGCGGAGGCCCTTTTCTGCCTGTGTGGCCCAAGGAAACTGCGGGCCTCCCCGCGAGCACCAGGCGCCTGTCCCCACCTTGCTCACCACGGGCCCAGCCTGGTCTCCAGGGCACCCAAGCCTGACAGTGTCCTGAGCCCCCCTCTACCACTGTCCAGACAGGAAGTCCCTGCTCCCCGTCCCCAAAGCCATCTGTGGGCCCTGTCTCCATCATCTACAGGTGACAGAAGGAAATGTTGAAAGGAAGCAGCCCCCAGAGCTGGCCCTTGCCAGCTTCCTCAGGTCAGACCAGGTGCCAGGAGAGGAGGCTTCCCTGCCCTCTGCCCTGAGAGAACCCTCAGCTTTAGCTGGGCACAGGCACCTCACAAAAGGCCCGTTCCCTCCTTCTCCCACACGTCACTGCTCTGGCCAGCAGGGTGAGACAGCTGTGTTCACTCTCCCTGAGCCTGGAACTTCCCTTCCCCTAGGCAGAATGCAAGCCTGAGTGCAGGAGCTGGGCAGCCATCATGGGCCCCAGTGAAAGCCTGATTGAGGATACAGAGTAGCAGGCTGTAGGAGTGTCTACTCTCCAGTCCTGGGAGCTGGACCTTGGGCCTAGCAGCTGAGCCTGAATCCTGACACAGTCAAGGCCATGTGGTTTTGCAAAATAAAAGCCACCTGCAGATGCAGTGTTAAGGGCCTACAGAGACAAATGCCAACAGGATCCCAGATGATTTGTTTCACAGAACCCAAAACACACAGGAACACAAACTAGGAACAGTGGGACTGAGAGCTGGAGGCCTGGGCTCAAGTGAGATCCAGCCCATTTACTGGCACCACTTGGTCCACTGGCTCCACAGGCCTCCGGAAGGTTGTTGGGTTCCACTCTAGAGAATGGAACAACCTGGCATCATAGGTGACGTGGCCATGGGCTGCCTTTGTGAATCCCGAGAAGAGATGAGGGCCAGCCTGTCGGGGACGTGCCAGGAGCTTTCTCACCCCTCCTGTCCTCTCAGCTGCCAGGATGAGGCTGCAGGCCTTGTGAGTGACCCATGTGAAGGAGAGGCCTTGCAGACCAGGTGGACAGTGAGCTGGGAAGCAGACCTCACTGAAGACAAGTAGAAATTACAATCCAACTTTCCAAATCCTCCAGCAATAAAGAAGACACGGCACCACGAAACACAGCAAGCTGCTCCCCAAACAGGTGCTCGACTCCCAGGGAGAGCTCTTGGAGGTGGAGCAAAGATGTGGCAAAGATTTTAAAAGATTTAAATCAGTGGACGAGCTGAACAAACCCCCCCGGAAGTGAAAGAAGCAAGAGGAGTGGTGGAGATCAGAGAGGGGTGCGGTTTTAAGAGCCAAAGTAGAGGATTGATCCTGAGACTCAGCACCTGCTGTGGTGTCCCGGTCTAGAGCAGGTGGAAGGAGTAACAGTCCTGAGGTCAGGGAGGACACGGCCAGCTCAGGCCTCTCAGGCTCGCTGCACTCAGATGTGAGATTTGGGGCTCAGCCTCTCTGGGGACCACCACGCAATGCTGGGGGCCAGCCCCTGTGCCAAGGTCTCTCTGGGGACAGGATTCGGCCAGGAGGAGAGGAGTGTCAAGAGCTGCCCAGTTTGGGAGACTGAATGGCAGGCAGGCATGCAGAAAAGGTGAGACTCCACAGGAGGCCATGGCCACGTCCACAGGGAGATGAAGGCCTGCTGGAGCACAGTGGCCAGTGCGCACTCACGGGGCCAGCAGGCAACAGTGCCTCCCTAGGCCCCACGACGTCCCCCAGGATGACCATCAAACCCACGACTGTGTCGCAGCTGCAGAGGGGAGGGCTGCAGGTGCAGGTCCAGTCGTGCCCCACGGAGGCCAAAGGGAGGACTCAGGACGGCCTTCCTCAGGGTGGGGAGGTGGAGCACTGCAGGTGCCCCTGCGCAGTGAGCCAGGACCTCCTCCTGTCGGGCCTTGCTCTGGCCTGCAGGCTGAGCTGGGAGCCTGGGTTGGAGCAGGGGTGTCGCTGACCACGGGGGGGGGGGGGGGGGGGGGGGGGGGGGGGGGTTGCAGGCTGGCCTGCTCTGGGGCTGTGGCTGTGGGTCTGCCTCCAGGGCAGTGCAAGTCAGCAGTTCTCCGGCAAGCGGCCTGGGGGTACCAGCTTTAGAGGGGCCCTCTGTTCACCCACTCATTCTACAGGACACTCGGTAGGGCCTGCTGGGGACACCAAGATGAGTAGCCCTTGCTATTGGTGTCCTTGCACAGAGGGACAGAACCGGAGCCCCGGTGGGGGCGGGGAAGGCTACACTATGGTGTGGAGGCAAAGCCCAGCTCATCGGGGCTGCCTGACGGGGCGGGGCTGCCTGACGGGGCGGGGCTGCCTGACGGGGCGGGGCTGCCTGACGGGGCGGGGCTGCCTGACGGGGCGGGGCTGCCTGACGGGGCGGGGCTGCCTGACGGGGCGGGGCTGCCTGACGGGGCGGGGCTGCCGGTCTCACTTCCCCTCTCCTCTTCGCTTCCCAAAGGCCAAGAAGCTGCAGGAGGAAGCCGTGACACTGAGACTGGACTCGAGCCCCAGCAGAGCTCTCTCAGGGGGCCTCGCTCACCCATCAGCATCACAGCCTCAGAATATATTTTTTAACGGGAAATATTAAGAGCCAGAAGGTGTTACAGCACTGATGACAGCATCTTCAGACGTGGGGCACTGGCTTTTGGCAGGGGGACTAATGTCAGGTGCTGGGTATTGTCCTTGTGATTTATTTCACAGGCACCTGTTGTTTTTAAATAAACCCGAGTTTCTTTTCTGAGGCTGTAGGAGGCTTAAATTGCATTAAAAGGAGAGTACTGTGAACACCACGTGTTTTTCATCTCTTCCCCGTGTTTCTGCCAGTCTAGGTGATAGAGTGTTTGACTGGCAGCCAGCTGACACCCTGGGGGCAGCCTAGTGACAAATGTGACCACAGTTTGCAGGAACCTGTCTCCTGGTGGAGGGAAGGGCAGAGTCCCTGCAGTCCAAGCATTCACCCAGGTCCCTGCCCAGCAGAGGTTCGCCTTTGGCCTAGACATTGCCAGTGTGACTGTGGACTGTACATTACTCCTTTTAGTTAGGTTAGTTTTGCTGTATGTATTTTGGAACTGCGTTATTAGATGCCTACAGTTTATGTTGAGCAAACACTGTGGACTTTTCTCTACCTCTCCTTTTTACTCCTTACCTTGAAGTCTGCTTGTCTGATGCTAATGTAAGCCTCCCACTGCTATTTTGTTGGCGTAAAACCTCTTTCATTGTTCGCTTTCAACCTTTCTGTCTTCATGTCTCAGTGCATCTTGTGGAAACCCATAGGGTGGGCCTGGTTTGGGGGATCGGGCCTGTCAATCTCCCTTTTAATTAGAGCGGGTTCACTTACATTTAAGGCAGTAGTGAGTGAGTGAAGTCCACCATCTTTTTGTATATTGTATTTTTTTGTATATTGTATGCTTTTGTTCCTCTATTCTCCCTTTACTGCTTTCTAAAAGATTGGTCAACATTTCTCTGACTCTCTCTGGCTCTTCTGTTAGAGAGTTAGTAGCACCTTTTTGTGCTGCTCTTCCTGGTTGGTGATGGTCGTAGCTCGTGTGCTTGGCTCTGGAGTCTGTTGGCTCCACCTTCCAGAAGCTGCATGGCCCTCCGTATTCTTGGAAGTTTGGTTCATGTTCTCTTGACATCTTTTCTTCATGGTCAACTTTATTTTCAACGTGCATTCTATGTGTCAACGTGCATTCTACTGTCATGGGAACAAATAGAACAAAGAGAAAAATGTGCTACGGTTGGGCGCCCAGGCACAGTGGTGCAGGCCTGTAATCCCAGCAGCTCAGGGGGCTGAGGCAGGAGGATAGTGAGTTCAAAGCCAGCCTCAGCAACTTGGTGAGGCCCTCAACAATTCAGTGAGACCCTGCCTCTAAATAAGATATTAAAACGAGCTGGGATGTGGCTCAGTAGTTAAGGCTCCTGGATTCTATCCCTGGTAGAAAGAAAAGGAGGGAAGGAAGGAAGGAAGAAAAGAGGRAGGGAGGGAGGGAGGGGAGAGGGAGAGAAGGAGGGGGAAGGAAGGAAGAAAGAAAAAAGAAAGAAAAACATTCTGCAGGCTGGGGTCTGCTCAGCAGAGTGTCCTTGTCGGCATGGGCTCTGTCCCCAGTGCTCACCCCTAAGAAGGAGTAAAGGGAGGAATAAGTCAGGCTTTCCTGTAGGGAAGGGAAGGGACTCACACAGGCAGATCTGGGGGGCAGAGGCCACGGCCCTCTGGGCACGCTGCGCTCTGCGTCCCCTGAGGCCTGCTGGAGTTCCTGGCATGGAGTTCAATTGCTCTGCTGCAGCCCCTGGGCTGGCTGTCCCCCTCTCCCACTGGGTCCTCCCACACGGTCGTCATGAGGGTCGAGTGCTGGAGTTCAGAGGTCGAGTTTAGGCTCTAGGGTGTTTGTGGTAGTCAGCCATGGACGCCGTCCCCTGTCGACGTCCTCGGCCTCCCTTTTCCTTCATCTTCTGTAACTCACGCTGGTCTCAGGTTTGGCCTTGTGTGCCGCACGCTGCCTGTTAACAAGCCAATGTGGGGCTGGGCGAGGACATTTCCGGAGAAGGGGCTCCACTGCCCAGCTGGTGAGGGGTGAAGATCACCCTATCCACTTGGCTGGGCTGGTCCCCTGTGGGGCACTCTCCTCCACATGCGGGTGGCAGAGGTCATGCCCTCTCCCCAGGACCCTGCACCCTGAACATCCACGCCACCTGTGGAGCCCAGGTGCCACTCAGCTCACTCAGCCCTTCCCAGGCCTCCCAGGACGGGGGGCTCTGAAGCCTCCGGCTTCCCAGGCCTGGTCCTCGCAGGTGCTTCCACTCATCCTGCTCAGAACCATCTCTGTTCCCAGGGTGCCTAAAGATCACTTTAAGTGCAGCTCCTACACTGGCTGTGTTAAAGTCACGCACAAGCAGAAGACGCGGCTGCCACTCACTTGGTGTGACCCCTGCCCTGCTCAGGCCATGCCCTCCGCCCGTGTGTGTTGTGGTCCACTGCTGCCCCTTCTGTTAGCTCCTCGTCCATCGCAGGTTGCTCTGTTAATGGTTACAATTCCCTGTCCCTTCCCTCTTAACCAGGTGGCCATTCTCTATTCCTTTTTTCTTTGGATGGAACTCAGGGGCACTGGCCACTGAGGCACATCCACAGCCCCATCTTGTACTTTATTTGGAGACAGGGTCTCACTGAGTTGCTTAGCGCCTTGTCACTGCTGAGGCTGGCTTTGAACTTGTGATCCTCCTGCCTCCGCCTCCCAAACCACTGGGATTACCTAGGTGCACCATGCCCCTGGCTCTCTGTTCCATTGGGAGCGGACCCCCATCTGTTTTCTGTGCTTCCCACCCAACCTTTCACTTCCTTTTCTTCTCCCCAACCCGGGCTGAGGCCTAGAGGACTCTCCCTCTGCCCCCCTGCCCTGTCTGGGTTTTCAATTGCCAAGAGACAGACCCCCTCGACGCTGCTTGAAAGGTGCTCCCAGCCTGGTTAGGGAGAACACTCTAGAAGCCCTGACCCTGTGACTCAGCCCCCAACCCGGCCTGCTCCTGACGAGGCCTGCGGTCAGCTGCTTCCCCACCTTGACCCCCGTGTCCCTGAGTCCTGGGTGGCCAGTCAGGTTGGCAGCCTTGCTCCCTATTGGCACCCAACAGGTGGCACCTGCTGCTGTGTCTCCTCTAGTGACCATGCCAGTCTGTCTCTGGTGCCCTGGGGCTTCTGTTTGCTGCCCCTGCTCACACTGTGAATGAGGCCTGTCCAGGGTGAAGGCCAGGACCCCAGCTATCAGCTGTGCTACAGGGGTGGTACCTGGGGTGGTGGCTGCAGCTGGGCCAGCCTCACAACCAGCAGCAGTGGCCAGTCCTTGAACATATCGAGGGCGATTGGCAGAAAAGGCTGGGGGCGAGTGGGTCTGCTGCCCACAGCCGCACTCCCGGACCCTGTTCCCCGTGGTGGCACCTCAAGGCAGGATGCTTGGTGAACCCACGCAGCTGCTGCAAGGGTGAGGAGCACAGGGCCCGAGAAGCAGCTGCCCTGCCCTTCCCCTGGGGACCGCCACACCAGGCCATGACCAGGGGGCAGCACCTCAGGATGACAAGCATTCACGTGTCCATTCTCCCGACTTGGCCAGGGGAGCAGGGCCCTTACCTGATGTCCTCCGGTTCCTCAGAGTCCTGCACTCAACATGAGCACCAGGAAGAAGGGCAGACACCAGCAGCTGTGGGCAGCCCAGCCCGGGGCAGGGCCTCTGTCATCTCTGTACCTTGCTCCACCCAAGTGTCAGAAGGACTCCCAGAGTAGAGCCTGGGTGGCCCTGGGACCTGTGGGTGGGGGTGGAGTCCAGGGTGGAGTTCTCCCCCAGGCAGTTTCCCACACCCTGGCCAAGGACACCTTGCTCTTTGGGGGGAGGACCAGATGGGGTCAGGGCCCTCATGCTGACTAGGTGAGATACGGCTGTGCCCGTGGGTGCCCAGTCTGTCTGGGGCAAGGCCCAGGGGCCACAGAGCTCCTGTGCTTCCGTCTCCAGCTGCCAGGCAGAGGCTGGTGCGATGCCGTCCCTGGCAGAGTGTGCACACAGAGTCGGCACAGTGTGAGCACGTCTCCCTGGTGCTTGCCACTCCTCCTGCGCAGAAGCCTGGGCTCAGGCTGCTGCTGCTGGATGCCAGGGGCCTGTGCCGTCCCCAGTGCAGAAAGGCATGTTTTCTGACCAAGAAGAGCCATTGCAGGGCTCCAGGCAGCCTGAGGCCCGGGGGCTGCAGCACTGAGTGGGGAGGCCTTGCCTGGGCATAAGACCACCAGCCTCTAATTTAAGGGCCCCCGCCCCTGCGAAAGGGCTACCAGTCCTGGCCATGGGCCCCAGCCCTGAGGACCCTCCCTGCCCTGAGTCTGCATCTTGCAGGAGGTGACTTGGCTTCAGCGGAGCAGCCTGGTGTGGTGGCAAGGTCCCCTGGTGGGAGCAGGCAAAGGAGCATCCCTCTGATAGTGGCAGCCGCCTCCAAGGCAGCCAGCACCCGGCAGGATCTGGCAAGGCCTCCGTGCAGCCGCTGGGTTACAGATAAGACAGGTGCAGAGCCAGCCCCAGGGAAGGAGGACTTAGGGGACCCCCTCCCAGGTAGGGGGACCCTGAGTGTGGACAGAAAGGAGGGTCTGCAGGGAGCCCTCTGGGGTCGTCTGGGCAGGGCTGCCATTCCCTGGCTTTCCACTCAACCTGGGGGAAGAAGCACAGGGTCTTTCCTAGCAACCATGCCCACTGCCCACCTGGCTCCTGGACACTGGCCAGGCGCCTGCTCTGGAAGTGGGAGTGGAGGCCGCGGTCCGAGAGCAGGAGGTGACAGTGCCCTCCAAAGCTGGAGCGTGGCTGTACTCAGCTGTTCCCAGAAGTGGGTCACAAACTAGTTTAACTGTGAAAGATCACCATGGTTTTAGGAAATGAAAGCCCCACTTTTTAGTATGAGGCTCTTTAATACCATCAAGTAAAAAAACAAAAAGCCCCACAGACAAGACTCCCGCCGAAGCCCGAGACGTACCATGGAGACTGAGGGCCTCAGAAGGCCCTGGGCCCAGGTGGGTTTCATGCCCAGGTGTGCCCCTTGCTGCAGGGACCCATGCGTCTGGTGTTG